ATTCTTTGACAGTTTTCGATAGAGTAAATGGTTCGAGTCCGATTTGTGTGAATAATATCTGAGTATAATCTTTTTATATATCAATTATGTGTTAAGATTTATATTTAATTTAAACATTTTTTTAAGAAATAACAAGCACCTTTTTTTGGTAATTTAATTAATTTTACACATTCCAAGAGCTCTTCGCGAAACTCTTGTGGTTCATCCAAGTTCATTTTTTTACTGTATAAGTCTGTAATACTAAGAGAATCTAAACAACAGTCGCGTGTAAATTATATCAATATACTAGCTATAGTGGAAATAACGCGAAAAAAAGAAATCAATTAATCAAAGATTCGAAAATATTACTTCTAATAACCCCCCCCCCCAACGCTATTTAATTATCATTACACGTGATCCAAAAGTGCCAAACCAATGATTAGATATAAGAACAAAAATTATAAGTTAATTAATTAATTACGATATTGTATTTCATGCAGACGAAAGTTCAAGTTACATGCGTCTGTTTATGAATTGTTTCTTAGTTATGAGCTCGCTTCATACGAAGAACCAAATAGAAACCAAATCGGAAAGCCAACATTAAACCGACGAGCGCAAGCTTTAAGTTATGAAAGAAAGACAATACAAATTAATAATTACGGCAAAATTCAGATAGAACTTCACATATAAAAGGAAACTTACCGCCCACAAATATAGTTTTATCTCTGTGTATCCAAAATCATCCAGCACATCTTTACCAGTAAAGGTGGCTGACTGACCACTTTTATCGCCATAATAACAGTTATACTGCGGGCCTGTTCCATTTGAATCAAGCTTGGTGCAATCGAAAGTCAAACCGATAAAATCATTTTGTATGATTCCTTCGAATGCGTATTTTTGATAATCAATATAATGAGCCCATTTCCATCCTTTTGGGATCGAATCACGTCTTACAAAGTATCCCTCAACAACCATAAAGAATCCGTTTGCGAAAGCGGCAATTGCAAGCGCGGCCACAAAGATCGGAATTACGGCTGCAATAAATACGACCATCGATTCGGCGACAACCAACGCAAGGAAAAGGAAAACACAGAATAATACACCATTGACGAATCCGGAATTCAAGCCAATCATAGGATAAGCAACGATGGTGAACGAAAGGGCAATGATAAAGACAAATGGAATTGATATGATGGTATTTGCCAAGACGTAAGGGCCAACAGAATAAAACCCATTAGCTCGTTCTCGTTGGAACACCAGACGTTCTTCAAGGAAACCAGGAATTCCAGCAACGCTCATGAATGCCAAAAACGCGACTGAAAAGAAATGTGCTGAAAATCGATTTTGAATATCTTCTTGTTTAAATCCAACTTGCCACCAAGTTGATCCCATCAATAGAGCTAAACACACATACATTGCTACTCGAATCCAAAACATTAATACATTTCTCATAGCATTTTTGAAAGATCTCGCTACTAGAAATCCGGTTTGTGCAAAGAAATTACGAGCATATCGATTTGTTGTTCGTGAAGAAATCTTCCTGGTGTCTACATCATTTTTATGTTCTTCAATTAATTCACGAATATTGTAAATCAATTTTTTATTTTCTTCTGATGACTCGAACGAATCGATAAAATTTGTCATGATTTCTTGGGCTTTATCTTTATCAGTCATGAAATCTGAGTTGACAAGGCGAAGAAAATGATCGGCAGGATTTGAATATGCTGGACACACGTGACCCAATCCTTCGAAATAACTTAGGGCATCTTCTCGGTTACCCATGAAAAGTGCACGTCCACGACCAATTAAACACAATTTGTCAAAAAGTTCATACGTTTCAGTTGATGGTTGATGAATACTGGCAATCACAGTGAGCTTGTGTCTTCGTGCCATATTAACAATCGCTTTCATCACATTATACGCGGCAGCTGAATCGAGACCGGTTGTTGGCTCATCGAGGAAAATCACTTTTGGTAATGTAATTACTTGAGTAGCGATTGATGCACGACGTTTTTCACCGCCAGAAACACCACGTACAAATACAGTTCCTATTTTTGAATCCGCAACTCTATCCAGTCCAAATTCTTCAATAATTCCTTTAACACGTGCGCGTCTTTCAGCTGCTGACACCGTTGATGGAAAACTGATCAACATAAAAAAATGTTTAATATTTCTGATAGAAGCCATGCTAAACTTCAAACATTTATACATACCATAAATCAGCAGCAAACTGAATATTCTCGCGAACGGTCAAAACACCTGAATTGATTTTATTATTACTTTTATGTTTAATAAGAAAAAATAATATTATTATTTAAGCATACCCATTAAAGCGTCATCTTGCATAACATAGGTCGATACATATTTAATCTCTCCCGGTCTACCATTCAAATACATTTGACCAGAAACAAATTTTGGATCTTTACGACCAGCTAATAAGTCCAACAATGTCGATTTACCAGCTCCCGAAGGCCCCATAACTTTTT